GGTATAGGTATGCCAGGATGCCAGAGAACTTGCCGTGGCAAGTTGGCAAAATGCAGGACAGAGCCGGGCCGGGCCGGGCCAAAAACCGAAAACTTTAAGTGGCACATGTGAAGCGATTTTTGGCAACTTGTGCAATTTGCAATAGCTAAGGGGGAGGCAGAGACTGTCTCAAATTGGGTTGCTGTTTCATACGATGCTGCTGCCTCTGCTGCTGTTCATCCAAAGTTTAGTTCAGACCCAGAGCCATACACACACACATTCACGTGGATGGGGAAACTTTTGCCAGGTCGGGGCCGGGGCTGGGCCGAAGTATCTGCGTATCCGTGTATCTGCAAGTTGCAATCTTGCTGCCAGGCAAAAGTTGCCAACCAGCCACTCATTTGATATTGAAAGTGAAAGAGCATATTTAAATACGTAAACTACGGACGGCGACGGAGGAGTACGGCGGAGCATACGGGCACGGGTTATGCATTCAGCTTTACAAGCCAGCTTAATTTGTGTTGACATCGTCTAAAATGGAGAAAAACAAGGGAGGATGGGTGGCTGTTCAGGGGCGTGCTTTGTAAATTTCCAAGATTTGGGTTAGAGATATTTGCACACTCATCCGAGCTGAAAAGTGCGAGCGATGCTAGATGCTGTAGCCCCGATAAAACCAGAGCAGACTAACAAGCACACGAGCGTATATCAATCTTTTTGTCCGCCCTCCGTCCCTACTTGGAGGTCACCTCGTGGCATCAAAGTTTGTTTGGTCCAGTTCTCAGTGCATTTATCCCCAAGCAATTGACTTTGAAGTCGACGCACTCGAAGGGATTTCAATTAGGAAAAGTATAGCCAAGTATAGGTGTCCTCAAGCCGGACTGAAGTGCGCTTATCCCGGGGTTCCAATTTGGAATTCTCTTCGCCGCAGGCGAGTGCGCGTTTTAAATCGCTGGCAAAACGCGTGCTCGGACTCGACAAAAACAAAAGCTCCACCCCAGCAAAGCAAAAGCAAAGCAAAGCCATGGAAACCACACAAAACCACAAGATGACTTTGTAAAGTTTTCCATCCTTTGGCCAAACACAAATACAACACTCACCCACTCATTAATTTTTGAGCAATTTGGACTGCGGAGGAGGCCCCCAAAAAGTTACTAAACTTGAGATAAATGTCGGAAAGTCCGCCTCTTACTTTTGGCCGAGTTAAGTTGTCATCGCGGCAATCAATAATTCAGCAACCACCTCGCTGACAATAAATTCAATTAAAATCGCCCCGGCTGGGCCCGAAAGGTGGCCTCGCCAGGCCCGTTCGCAATTGGCGAGTGACAAACGGCCAACTAAAGCCAAAAAAAACAACCCGCTAATCCCTCTTTGATTGCTCAGCCAGGGCACGTAATTTCAATTTGAGCCTCGGACCCTTTAGCCTTTGTTTGGTTTTTGTTTCTGCCAACCGGGCCATGATTTCAGGACACAACCAGGCCAGGATAGCCAGTCAGGGGTTTTTGTCTCGGCGGTTGGTAATTTTATTTGCAGCTTTTTGCATTAAGTGCACACAATGTTTATTAATTATTCAGTGGCATAATATGGAGCGTTGGCTCTTTTACTTCAGATGCCCCGTCCACCGTTCCCATATCCGCATCCGGATTCAGGATCCAGGTTCCACGTTCAGGATCCAGGTTCATTTGATACTGCTTCTGGCGGCGCGTTGCATAATTGAATATTATGATTGTTATTTTCACTTGCTGCCTGTCGGACGGCCTGTTATCTTAGCTTTTTCCGTACTCGTTCTCCGGGCCAGTCTCCGGCACCATCTCCGGCTCCGACTCCGACCATGTAGCTCTGCATACTTAATGACATTTGCTGGACTCCGAGCCGGAGCTTCGTTGGATCGGAGTCGCAACCCCCAAAGGCATGTTTCACAAGGTATTTACGTCTTCAAACACCGCTCACCTGTAATTGCAGGGCACTAATCTGAGAAGCTCTGCTGTTTTGTGGCAAGTTTGGGAATTCAATGGCTCATAACAATTTTATTGTTATATGAGTGGTGTATTATCCTGTTAACCATTTTTTGAATATTTGTTCAGATATGGTTTCAGGGGAAGATGGTTTGTAAAAGGAATATCTTTTTAAAATAAAAAACAATTCTGCTAGGAATCTAAGAGAATCTTTTTAGAAGAGAAACGAAACAATCAGAATCTATTTTCAGATTCTGATTCTAACAATCCGATTTTATATGGAAAATCCTTAACAAACCTAGTTGAAAAATTTTGAGAAATCCTATTTTCTATTTTATTTCTCTACATTTTATAATGGGAAAGGATAAACACTGAAGAGCTTAACCAAGGGAAGGTATAACATATATTTGACGATCTGAAAAATATTAAAAACTTTAAAATCCAGAAACTATCCCTATAATCAGCACAGTGCACACTCTACACCAGTAATTTTAAGACTTAAATCAACTCATCTTTTTCAGATACTATTTTTTAGAGTTCTTTTACAAAAATATGTTACTAAATGTAGCTGGCTTAATGTAATTACATGTAGCGATGGTCCATGGCCTGAAGAGCTGCTTTGGCGGTTCCTCTTTCCTCGTTGGCCCAATGAAATTTGCATGTTTTTGGCCACTTTCGGGGCTCTAGACAACTTTTGCCAGCCGGGGCATTTACAGCTGCAACAGCTGAGAATAAATATTTAAACAATAACAGAAACTTTGCATGTTCTACAATTGTTGCAACAACAATGGGGGTGGCGAGAGGACGCTGAAGTCCTGCCAGTCGAAAATAATAAAGTTTTACGGCTGAAAATTACTCAATTCCCGTTGCCCGAAAAAGTTAACTTAATTTTTCGTAGTTGCCTTTTGTGCGAAAAACTTGGCAAAGAGGTGAGGCAGCAACAACATTTTGCAACACTTTGGCTGAAGGGGAGAAACTGTTGTAGGTTGTTGCAAGTTGGGTCGGTGTTTGGTGTTGGGGCAAGGGAGGGTTAAACTCAGTTTGCCCCATTGATTGCACGTCCCTGAAAGCTGTTGTCCTTCCTCCAGCGGATGCACAAAATGCGTTTGCATTCCAAGGGGACACAACCCAGGACACCCAGGACACTGTCCTCGACAATCAGAAAAAAAAATCCGAAAATGGAAACAAGGATGAGGAACAATAATGACCGAAAATAATTGAATTTTCGCATTCATTCGCGAGCTGCAATTACTTTCGGGGGACTTGTGCTTCGGCCTTGTTATTGTTTTCCTTTGTCTTGGCGTGGAGCCTTCTCGCTCCTCCTCCATGTATGCTATTTTGAGTCAACGGATTGGCTGGAAATCTCAATTATTTATGTTTCAGAGACCCCAGCCAAAAGGATAAGCATGTTCACCTTCAATTTGATTGCCTCTCGGCCCCCCACCGCGGCGCCGGCAATCCGAAACTCATTTGTATTTGGCGCCTCCGGGAAAAACACGGCGTGGAAATCAAATTAAAAGTCGCACCAATGACCAAAGCACTGACCTTGGGGGCATAGGCGGAAAAAACAACCCCTCCACCTGGTTGGCTCTCCGGCATCCAGTCTCCGGGGATCTAAAATGCTGGCACACGGTTCACTGACTGCAAATCAAAATAGAATTTAAATCTCTTTGAGTGGCGCCGTGGATGGGCTGTTCGGGGCTCATGCAAAAATCATTTTTGCCTGTCAAATAAATTACACTTTTTCTGGCTTTGGGTTGGGGTTTTCTAGTGATGGAGGAGGGAAGTGGTGGGATTCAGGGTTTCATGGGGGATCGACAAAATGGCGTTGAGAACGCATAATTTGGCTGGCAGGCTCAACCCTGTCGCACTTGGTTTAATTGATTTTACAGTTAGTCGCCCAGGTCCATGGATATTTCGTGTTCAAAATTTCAATGGCAAGGGTCGGAGTTGAGTCCTTCTTCGATTTGTTTTTGTTTGTGTCTACCAATAGACTCCCGACTCCCTCATGGCCCATCACCACCCATCGACACTCATTTGCACTTAACACTTTCCACCATTTTGTTTGCCTTGGGTGCGCCATTCCTCCGGAAAAGTTTAGTTTGTTGGCCCGGAGTCCGGGGACTTTTACGAAAAATTTCGCATCTATCGGTCTCTGTCTCAAGGCAATGATGGGGAAAATTGCAAAATTTCTAGCCTCCCGATAATTAAATATGCTTCTGCAACAAAAACGGGGGCCAACCCGAAAGATACATTGGCCTGGCACATGTGTCTAATTGGATTGTCGTTTGGAGTGGAGTGTTGGCTGGTTTCGCCCTGGTCCTGGCCAAGAAACATCGTCGGGAGATAATCTCCGTATCTCGGCTCACGGCCCACATAAGTTCCACAAAATTCGCTTTTGGCGCAAACTTTTTAATGAAGTTTCGCCGTTCTTGGGGCCAACTTTTCTGCTCTTGGCCCTACCAAAGCCAACCACCACCCACCACCCCAAAAACGACATGTTGTTCTCTATTTATTTTGATTTTTCCCACACCACCCGGCAACCGGCACCCGGCACCACACCGCTTACTTATTTTCCCATTTGCCGGAGGTGCCACTGCGGCGGCCTTGAGGTGGTGCTGGGAGCTGGGGGGGAGGGCACTCTCTGTGGCAGTAAGTGGCACATTTGTCGGGTGATACGCTTTTAATTAGTGGCGATGGCGCTGGTAACGGTGGCAGTAAACTTTTCGCCCGGCTTTAATTGCAGCTGATGCGAAGGAGTACAGTTGCCCCGGAATTGGCTTAGCATGTGCGAATGCGAGAAGAGAGTGCGCCGCAGCCGGCTTAGCACAGAAGTTTGCTTAGAGAAAATCTAGGGGCGAAAAGTTAACGAGCAAGGACTGGCTCTGGGATCTGAATTGCAAAAGTTTCGCCACACTCTTAATCCAGCGCCTCCACTCGTTGCCCCACACATCTAGATTATGGCCAAGATTTAGTTGGTAATGTGATGTACATTTTAGAAAATTTATCTGGGGGCTATGCTTGGCAATCATGAAAACCTAACATTTATACTTTCTTCTATCCTTACAGGTGCCCCCACAGCAGTAGCCTTGAATGCCACCCCCATTGCCTATCCGGGATCACCCCTACACCTCAACGTGGAGTTCTGCGCCAACCCGCCGGCCCATGCTGCCCGCTGGTTGCACGGCGATCGGGTCTTCACGCCCGGAAACCAATACGGTGCCACTGTCCTGGCCTACGCGGTCAAGGTAAGGAATTTTAAATAAAAATTATTTGTAAGATTTTTCTAAATAAATTTCCCTACTCTGGACAGGATCTACCCGTGCCCTTCTGCAAGGAGGCGCGACTCACCTACGTCAGCATGCACGAACGGGTGCCAAGGACCTTCTACTTTATTGTCTCCTCGCCAGGTGGCGTGGCCGAGGCGGTCTTCAATGTCAACTTCACCAAGCGCCATCGCCAGCTCTCCAACTCCATCGACGACGACGACGAGGAGGAGGAGCTCCATCGACCCGAGCAGATCCACTTCCCCATCTTCAACGGCAAGTCCTCTAGCGGGCGCAGCCGGTGGGCGGTGGTGCCGGCCCTTTTAATGGTCCTTGGCCTAATCAGCAGCCATTAGGCTCGAATGAGTGCGAGTGAGTGTGTCCTGAGAGTGAATGAGCGAATGAGAGTCCTTTTTGGAAGTGTGTGCCTACTGCGTTCTTTACACCAAAAATGTTCTATGTAACCAAACCCTAACTTGTATGGATCTACCCACTTACTCGACATTACCGCGTGGACTATGCCGCACGACTACTACTCTATATAGCTATATATGTATGTGTATCTGTAACCGATTTAGCCAAGTATCAAAAATTGCCCTAGGCTAAGATCCCAGGCCCCCCTCAAAATTAGGACTTTTCAGAAACTTTCCAAAACCAAAACAAGGATAAAAACATAGGAGGAAAGCACTCTCTATCCCCAAAAACTATTCGAATATTTTTACTATAACCCCTAGCTGTAACTGTAACGGTAACTGTAACCTTATCGCTGTATGTCAATGTGTATGTGTGTGCGCTTAACTAAAATGCCAAAAAAAAAACTAAAAAACACAATTCTTTTTTTGGAAAAAAAAAAAAATATTGTTACAAGTTGATTATTACGAATGTACTTTAAGTTCCTTTTGAAAAACGAAAAAAAGCAAAGGAGAAATATGAAAGCGACTGATTTTGTTAAATATTTTGAAAATGTTTAGAGCTAAAGAAGGGCAGGAGGAGGAGTATAACCTATAGTTTAAAATGTAAATGAGGATACGAGTATCGGAGAAACACTTACCAGGCACGAACAAATTCCTTCCATTTGAAAAAAAAAATGTTTGCCTTCGAGCAACAAAACTGTAAGATATTTTCGGAAAAGAAATTAAGCGAACGATCAAAACGAGTTTTAATATATGTAATCGAATTGCGTTTCCTTATTAAATCGCACATTATTGTTTCCCATGGTTTTCCAATCGTTTAAAAGGACCAAAAACAAAAACAGGATATTTTCCATTTAATACGGATATTTTTGTAACACACGAACGAAAGTCATTACATCCCAACAAGAATATATATGAGACCCTCCACATAAGCGATAATTGTACATACATGTTCAAGTAGCGAGAATTGCTCAACAAGAAACATTAAAAACAATATTATATAAAAAGTGTTAAATGTTGTTTGAAAGTAAAACTGAAAAGCCATTAACGTGTCATAAGTAGCAGTTCCACTAGAGAATAAAACAATAAGAAGTGTAATATAACAGACCACGGTCACTTAACCAATTAAACATAATTATAATTATCAGCTATTGTAAAATATTTCAGTTTCAAGATGAAATCAGTAGAGGGGACGTTGCAACATTTGTTTGCATGCCACTGGATTTTTTGTACAAAGCCAAAGCTTTTGTAATTTATTTCTTAGTCGATCTAAGCTTAAGATTACTCCATGTATCCTATGCGCAATACATACCGATATACAATTACTTATATCCCTAGGCTAAGGATCAGTGTAAAAACAAGAAATACTTAGAAGAACCTAACGCCAATTTAAGCCAGAGCAGAGGATAGGCAAGAGCATTTGCAGCAGAGTTCCAAGAATTCGGGCATTGTAAAATTTAATAAGTTTAAATTGAGATTGAAATTGAAATTAAAAATAATATGGAATATACATATAAATAATTTGAGTATGCCACTTAGCATATCCGTAGCCCCAAATGTAAAGTTGAGTTAAGTCATTTCAGTACTTGGGTTAATTGTCAGCAAAACTTTGCAAATTGTATGAACAAGGCAAGCAAACAAACACGTCGTCATGTTAACTAACAAAATAAATTACTAAACAAATGAATGCTCCAGTGCGTACTGTATTTATGATTCATTGCGTTGGTAATATTTACAAAATATTATTTATAACGAAAGCCAACAAAGCAACAAAACAAACGTATATTATACTAATAACAAAAATATTAGCTCCTAAGTGAAACACAAACCGAATGTGGCAAATTAATTTTAAACCAATGAGTAATTACGATATGAGGGACAGAAGATTGTTCATCTGTAGTGCAAAGCGTGTTTTTTGTGGGGGAGGTCGCTCACTAATAACCCATACAATTACAATTACAAATACAAAATACAACAATACGTGTTACAATAAGGAGAAACGGTTTACATATATAAGTCATAGGCCCAAGAGAAATGTAAGCAACCACCACCAACAACCACAAACAAAACCAACACTTTTAGCCGTAAACTTTGGCCCCAAGCCAGGCCCAAACAAACACTTCAGAGAGATAGAGGAGTAGAACAACCAGGAGACACAAGACATAGCAGCTAACAGAATCAAAAACTAACTCTTAAGCCCAGAAATGCAATAACGCTCTTGGCCAGAAAACTGTTACATTTAAGCCAAATATCGCAGGGCAGGGCAGGGCAAGTGGCTCTTGGCCAGGTTGAGGAAATTTACCAGTTTAAGTGACAAAGCAACAAAACAAAATAGCCAATTTAGCATAAAGTAAAAACAAAACGAAACAAATGCCGAAAGAATGCAAATAAAATGCAGATAAAAATGAAAGGAGCGAGCAGTCAGACAACACAACTCACACACCACACAGACAAAAATGAAAATGAACATGGAATAAAATTTAAAGGCAGAGAAATGCATAAAAACAAAACGACATGGCTTTAACTGGGTGGGTGGTCCCTCTCATCAAGGGGGAGACTGGGCCGGGGGAAAAGCGGAAAATTCTGGAAATGTTGGAAGGCGCACACACAATCAATCAGCGCCGGGGAACGCCCATCATTAAGCTGCAATGTGAAAAAAAACCTCATCCAGTTGATGGAACAGATACTCTTTGCTCAGATACTCGAAGGGCGCTGCCGCATAACGTACGGATATAATCTTACGATAGCCTTGAAACTTAATAGTAGTGAAGTTATTTAATTAATGGATTATAATAAACATGGAAGTTTAGGCTCTGGAGTTTCTTATCTAAGGAATCATTGAGAGATACTTGAGATACTTTTTTTAAAAAGTATCTCGAATATTTTTTACTTAAACTGAATCACTTCCCAGCATAAAACCAAACATTGCCCTAATTTATTTACACAAAATCAATGAGAATAAAAAAATAAGAAGATGAATTTCTTTATTCTGAGAGCTCACCACACTCCCATGGAATACTTGGGATTCTGCAGTTTTTAGCCAAACATTTGCTTCCCTCGAAAGGGTATAAAGGGTCACACAAATTGCCAGGTTGCACTCCGACCCGAGATGAATGCCAATGAAGACCTGGTCGCCCGGCAATTGTTGACATGCCGCATCGCATCGCAGTGGCAGTGGTCGTTGGTGCTGCAGCTATAGTTGCAATTTCTGTTGCTGTTACTGTTGCAACAGTTGCATCAATATCAATCAGGGGCCAACGAAAGGGAAAGGCCACCGAATGCTGAATGCCGAATGCAGCTTTTGGGTGACCGCAGGCCCCCGGTTCATTTTGTGTGAAGGAGATTCCGGTTTACGGCTTACAGCTTGGTATTGGTTTGACTGGGCTTGGTGCATTGGCCCAATCCCATCACCATCACCTCATCCCAGTCCAAATCCCATTCCGATTCACTATCCCGATCCCAGAGCTGCGTTGTCACTGCAACTGAAACACCAGAAAAATAGTGCTTGTGCGCTGCGGCGCTTGTTTATTAGTTGGAAATCAAAATCAAAAGTCCAACGACACCGCAGGATTGCCAGTTGCTACACTTTTTGGGCCAAAAAGAGTGGAGCAACCTGTTTCTCGAACCGCAAAGAGTGCAGTGCCGTCCTGGCCACAATCATCGATAACCAGGCCGGTTTTCAGGGGCGCTAATGACAGTGAAATGCCAGAGATAGGCCGAGGCGCCAATAAGATTATAGCCAAGCGGGGGCGTACCGTACAGTGAAGCTGATGGTTACATTAGCACTAAAGCACTTTGGGAAATTATGCTTAAGAAAATAGAAAAATCGGTGGGGATTGAAGAAGATGTTTGTAAATGGTATTCTTTTTAGAGATCGGATGAAATGCAAAAAGGGTTTATTTTATATGAGATATTTTTTAACCTTGGCCAATACTTGTCTGATAGAACAGAGACATATCCTGTATCTTTTGTATCTTCTACATTTAAGATCTAACATTCCATTGTTCCATTAGTATTTATTTTTGTAATATTTTTTATATTTTGGAAGAGTGTAGGACAATTAAAGGATAGATTTTTTTTCTTTAAGGACCCCATCAATATTTGCGAATACCCCTAATTTGAAACCCGATAAGTAAAGTCTTCTTGGCTATAATTTGTTCAGTGTAAATTATCAATCAAAATTCCCAAACAGTGATCGAGTGGAATAAACTTGCAAGTTGTCGCAGGCTCCACGGTGGCACAATGTGGTTCGGTTCAATGTGTGAGTGTCTGCCGCATAATGTCGACGCACGCGCCACGGCGAAAGGTGCACCAACTAATGGGTGTCCCTGGCCCCTGGGGTAGCCCCCTCTTGCCCATCGGCAGATATCCGCAATCGCCAATTGGCATTACTGTGCGCATTTCGCTTTAATTGTTGCCTTGTTGGCCAAATCCAGAGCTGCGAGTCACCTAGGAGAGCACCACCACACACAGCCACCCCGAAAACCGGCTCCACCAAACTAAGAGCAGGCTGCCGAACTGCCAATTGAAGGCCTGCACCACTCGACCAAGCTGCAACCACAATCGGCCGCACCACACATACTATATTTCAATTTGCTTATGATAGGCGCCATCGTCGGTTGAGGAACCGAAAACCAAAAACCAAAAACTCCGCAGACCTATAACTTTAGCCATAAAATCGTTGGCTAAAAGCAGTCTGAAAATGGGCCTGATAAGTGGGTTTTACCAAATGCCGATAGTATCTCTGCTATATCTCTATCCGCAGAGAAGAAAGTTAACGTTGCGGGGAAACAAAGGACCTTACTTTTTACCTCATTATCATATCCTTTACAGGACATGTCAGCCTCCCACGGTCGTAGTTGGCGACTTTAAACGAGCATAAAATGCTGACAATTAAAATCGTTTTCATTGCACATCGCTGGGCGTCAATAATTCCCGCCCAATACGCTTGTATGAAATTTCACAGTTCAATTAATGCATTTTAATTTTAACTTTATTTTCCAATTTACTTCACACAGTTAAAATGGTTGAAAGGCAAACGCAGCACCGAAGCCAAGAGCCTGGAAAAAATATGAGAGACTCGGCGGGCAAAATAAAAAAAAAGAAAAAACAGAAACACAGTTTAAGGCTGAAAATTGTTAACGCAAAATTAAAAATTGTTTTTGATTGATTGTTGCATGAAATTGGCTTTTGGTCTGAGGCTCCACCGCACCGATTGGTCCCATTGATTGTAATTACATTTTTTTTCCGCTGTCATATTTCATTTGCCCTGCGCACTTAATTAGCCGACTGCCGACTGTCGACTGCCCAGTGCCACGCCCCCTTTTCCACTGTCCTCATCCCGCCCGGCTTTTCCGGGCGAATGCGCTTTTTCGGGAAAGTACAATGGGAAAATGTGAGCAGCCATACCGGTAGAGGCAACGAAATTAAGCGAATTGCTTTTAATAGATTTTTCCGCAATTTCTGCAGATTTTTTTCATTGGTTATTATTATTGTACAAGTTGGTTTGCGGTCAAGGCATCTCAGAGATTTCCTTTTGCCAACTTTTTCGTTTGGGCCTTTTGTAAGGCCAAGATGCAGTTTGGTTTCCCAGCGAAAAGTTAGCTCAGGCGGAAGGAAGTCGATTGCCAGCTTACATTCGACTTTTGTTACACTTTTGCCAAATGCTGATCCGGCGAAAATTAGCCATCGTTTCAGGTGTTGGCCAGGCCAACTGGCAATTTATGGCTCGCATTTCCTTTAGACCAAAAACCAACGCCTCCGATTATGCAATCTCGCCCAGGCGAGAGCTTTTCATCGTAATTGTCTCCGTGGTTTTTGGTGCGACTGGTGCGGAAAATGCCAGAGGAAATGCCAACCGAAAAAGCGATCTTGGCAGCAGCTCCAGCTCCAGATCCAGTTCCAGTTTCGGCTTCAGTGGTGAAAGTCAAAAATGTGTGTGCATGAGGCATGCAACACGGCTTAAATGAGATGCAAACAGATAAAGAAGCTGAGCGATTAGGGTAAGTATAAGTCACACCCCTAATGACGTCCGGATTCATATCTCGATTTTGGCCAATTCAGCTCTTAGCTTAATTTTTTTGGGAGAATGAGCACTTTCCCCTCATTTACATTTTTTACGACTATATTTAAACAATTTTCATTCAGTTTTGTCGCCAGCAACGAATCCCCCATTAATACATATCTCCAAAGACAAACGATTTCATTTACTATGCAATAAATAAATTGAATTACCAAAGCATAAATAACAAGAAAGGAAAGCTAACTTCGGGCGGAGCCGAAGTTTATATACCCTTGCAGTTAAAACCGGATATATATCGCAAACATCGGATATAGTTGGCCGATCCTTATGGGAATAGGAATATATAATCGAATTTATTACAATACAAAATCTAAAAAAAGTCCCAAACTTCTATCTTCAAAAATACGAAAGTTGATATTTCTACCAACAACCATTTCCGATCGTTCAGTTATATGGCAGCTATGGGATATAGTCGGCCGATCCTAATGAAATTTTATAGGTTGGATCAACTGACCAAAAATAGAATCTGTATTAAATTCCAGCTTTCTATCTTCAAAAACACGAAAGTTGGGTCATTTCCGATCGTTCAGTTATATGGCAGCTATAGGATATAGTCGGCCGATCCTTATGAAATTTGGCATGACGTAATGTTTTGCCAAAAATAGCTCTCTTGTCAAATTTGAACTCTCTAACTCTAAAAACACCAAAGTTATACCATTTCCGATCAATCAGTTATATGGCAGCTATAGGATATAGTCGGCCGATCCGGGCCGTTCCGACTTATATACTGCGTGCAAAGGAAAGAAGGGTGTGTGCAAAGTTTCAAGACGATAGCTTTAAAACTGAGAGACTAGTTCGCGTAGAAACAGACAGACAGACGGACAGACAGACGGACAGACGGACAGACGGACAGACGGACAGACGGACATGCTCATATCAACTCAGGAGGTGATCCTGATCAAGAATATATATACTTTATAGGGTCGGAGATGTCTCCTTCACTGCGTTGCACACTTTTGACCAAAATTATAATACCCTCTGCAAGGGTATAAAAAAGTCGCATTTTAATAAATCAGAGAAAAATAAAAACAAGTGCACCGCCGCGGCGTCTCTCCGCAAACCGCATCCACATTAATCAATCAGCCGAAAACGTCATACGCTCCACAGCGGCAACGGCGAAGCTGCCTCATTAAAAATGAATGAAAATACCAGGGGGTCGCAACCGCGTGGAGGGGAGGTGAAACAATGCATTCGAAGGTGATCGAACCGACAGGTGTAAAATAAATGCGATAATTGCATCAAGTGTTATGAGGCAAGGAAGTGCGGCGAAAACAATGAAAAATTTATGTCAACGGAGGTAAAACGGAGTGCAGAAGAGAAAAAGGCAGTTAAGGGCGTTTAGGCTTTGTCAAGGGCTTTCACTTGGCCAAGAGAAGGTAATAGAAAAGGTACGGAGGTTTTTTATGGCCTAAATGAAGTAAAAGGTATCGGTAAAAGATGTAAACTGGGAAGTTATATCTTAGTGGAGCTTACTAGGCTTACTGCAAGTGGCTTAGAGAGGGCTTATGGAAGCGTATTAAGAAAAGAAAATCCCTTACTTTAATTGAATAAAATTGAACTTGAATAGCAACCGAAAATACCAACCATTAAGACTCCCTCTTCCAACACATGCCTCAGCTCATTTCCACATAAATGCCAAGGCAAGAAACCTGTTGCCAAGTTTTCCCGCGCATGTTGTTTTTTTGCCAATTTTTTTATTCGGCAGGGTCAATGCTGCCGCTGTTTGCTGCCGCGGCCACTGCTGTAGAAAGCCATAAAAAACAAAAATGTCACTGCCACAAAGGAGCAAGCGAGATGGTTGAGGCTCTTGCGCAATCGCCGACTGGACAAGTTTTATGCTACACTTAAGGATCGCCAGCAGCATCGGCAACATTGGCAGCTTGCAACTTACAACTTGCAACCAGCAGGCAGCCGCTGAGCAGCCGAGCAACTTGCAGCCCACGACGATGAAAAGAAAACGAAATGCTCGATGCCCGACGGTTTCACTTTCATTCGCAACGCGCACGCGCAACTGTCAGGGTCGCCGAAAAGAGCACCACCGCACCATCCTACCATCGCGAAAATATATCGAAAATCCTGTAAAATAAATAACAAATTCCGTGGCATTTCGAGCTCAGAGAATAAACATTACAATTGTTTTAATCGAATAGAAAAGTGATTATAAGTGAGATTTAATTGGAAGGCAATCAACATAAATAATTGAGTGTTTTCATTTCATTTCGCCGGATCCCACCCACTCTCCCCATCCTCCGACAAAAAAGACAACCCCATCGCGCAGTACTTAATGGATGCAGGTAAATTGGCCGAGAGGAAAAAAAAGGCAAATAAAATAAACGAAACATTTAAAATGCCCATTTAATAGTGGAAATTAATATTTTACCTCTGGCCGCAGAGCGAATGTGAAAATTGAGTTAGTAAACCTTTGAAATGGACTGGTGATTGATTATTGAATGAAGAACTTTTCAAAAGCTAGAAGCCCAACAGTTTTGCTGCAGAAAATCAATCAATCATGAAGGATTTGCTTAGGCCATCGGTTTAATAGCTCAGTTCAGAGATCATTATCCATACGAGCAATTAAAGCCACAATTTCCCTACCAGAGCTCCGGAGAGCTCCACTTTCTTGAAGCCAACGAGACAGCTAAGTGGGGGACCGGCTCCCAGGCACCTCGGGCGCCTCTTAGCCATGAATATTGCAGGTGAAATATGTTTTGGCATGCATATTTAATGCCTATCGAAACACAAGCAGCCGCAGCAGCAGGAGTGCAGGCCAAACTATGTGAAAACCCGCACGAACCATTTTAAACGCCATCAATTTCAATTTTCCAAATTAAATGCAAAAGAGCAGGCTTCAAGGCAGCACAAATTGGAGGACTGGGAGGCTTGAGTTGTTTTTCGGGGCGATAATTAATAATTCATTACGTTGCCAGTAGCAATGACATAAGCCCAAAGCAAACGCAAACGCAGCCAAGTTCAACAACTTTCGACGACGTTTTAGGGAAAATCTCTCAGCGATAGAGAAAGAAAAACGCCAATGTGCCAAAGCAGCCGTTTAGGAAAAGTCATCATCATCATCATCTTCGACTACGACGACGACGACAACGCGACGTATCGGTTAAAAATCAAACAGCCCGACAAGTGAGTGGCTATACTGGAGGCCATATAGTGGCCATAACGCAGATCGAAGCGGAGTACAGCGGGATTGAAGTGCCTTTTGGATGCGGAGTGGGCCCAAACAGGCTTGACGACTCCGCACCAGCATCCTCCGCCGAATGTTTTGTCGCTTGGAATTTGTCGTGGCTGCGGGGTTATTCACACCAGTCCCCCACCCCCCTTCAGTCAGGCCATCCTGGCATAAACACAACTCTTTCCATTTTTGGACATTTCCGCAAACGTACACATGGAGAAACACAAGTGCCTCACTTGGTGGCTAGTAGCTACCTTTTATTGAAATTCAAATAAGAAATAAGGATGGCCTACACTTTTTAAAGTTTTTAAATATTTTTAATGTTTATATTCAAAAGAATTAAATATAATTTAAATCTAAACCTACCCATTATTTCTCCCTATGATGCAGCAACTCCATGTGGCCCAAACACAAACATCTGCTAACGGCGGCAGCGACGATCTGCTGTCTTTTGGCCATCATCCAGCCGGCCCTTTTAGCCAATCCGCCAGATACTCAAGCCCCTCCTCCCCGCAATGACACAGCGGCGCTGGGCGATGAGGGCGTGGCTGGGGGCATAAACTCCGGACTGGATGACAGCAGCGTCAAGGAGGTGAGTTTTTGGGGAGTTAAGTGAAAGATTTTGACAGGCAATGAGCGTCGCTTTTGACAACTTAATAAGCAGGCAGGCGGTGGACTTGAAAAGGAGGTCATCGAAGGTCTCGGCTTCAAAGAGGTCACGGATCTGGACAGAGAAGTCTCCACCACCGGCGACAGAGAAGCGGAGTTCGTGGGGTGAGGCATAATCTGTTTCTTTTTAATCAAGAAAATGCAAGTTCTTTGGAATTAATTTTTCGCCTTTCAGAGTGCCCGGTTTTCTGCCAACTGTCTTACCACCCAAGGACACCACCAGTCCCACCAACGGGCATGGCTACATCCAGTTTGAAATCAATGACGAGCTGCCCGTGGAAGTGGTTCGCCGCCAGAAGCCCATCCAACAGACCCTCACTCGCTCCCGGACAGAAACTGTCAACGAAGTCCTCTCTAACCTGTTTCCCAATGGGTTCTCGGACATTTTCCGCTATAGTGGAAAGGATGGCAACATGGAGACGGTAACCACAACCACTAACAAGGCGGTGGCTCACCCCACTGTGGATGCGACCACCACCACAGAGGCACCTACCACCGTGCCTGAACCGGAAACTTCCGCAAAACCTGTCAATGATACATACTACACTTACCAGACCACAGTGACAAAGGAGTACCGCCGGGAACTGAGCCCGGGACACACTGAAATCGTTGTGGAGCAGATCCGGGAACCTGGCTTCCGTGACGGCAGCAATCACATTTCCAGGGACGACCTCCTGAGGATCAATCGCGCCGCCGTGGCTGCCCCTGTGCTGCCAAGTTTGTTGCTGCGTCCGGAGCCTGACTCCGATGATAGTGAGACTCTGGTGGCGGCGGAAAGTGCTCCCATCGTTATTCTGGGTGAGCATGAATCGGACTTTGAGATGCCAGGGCAAGAGATTCAGGACAACCAAATAGCCGAGACACGCCATGTGAGCCGGGAGGCTTACCAGCAGAGAGTGCCAGCTCCCAGCTCCAGTAAGCAGAACGGCATTGAAAGTTACACCAACCAGAAAGGTCCTGGCCAGGATCAGGAGATAAACGTCCATATTGTTCACGATGAGACGTTGGGCAAGAATAAGGAAAAGGCAAAGGAAACGGCTGCCCCAGAGAAACCCCAACAGGCACTGGATCATTACCAAGCCCACAGCGAGCAGAGGTTCCAGCAACGACACCAGAGCAATGAGGCTCCTTCCAGGCAGTTCCTCAAGAGCTTCAAGCCCGTGGTGTCGGGCAGTGGCGACGGACCCCTTCCCAAAGGAGCCTTCCACTACGAAGTGCAGAATCCGCCCCAGAAACATCCCAAAGAGGTGAACCCACACTTTTTCCAGCCTGCCGCCCAGTTGGCCTACCAACGGGAACTTGGCCAGGTGCAAGTGCATCATCCGCAGCCTCAGCCTCAGCAGCTTCAACATCATCAGCCGATGGAATCTCTGCACACCAAGGCCATCTCCTCTCCCCCATCCCCCGCCGTTCAGGACTACTCTGGCTACGCAGGACCCACTCCTGTATCCGTCACTCCCAATAGTTTAGTTTTTGTTACCCTAAACACACCTCCTCCTCCCCCACCTCCTGCGCCACACGCTTCGCCTGCTCCTCATATCCCACATACGCAACAGGAGCCCGGGATTCAATTCAGCGTGAGTCATCCCTCACCTCATGGCTATGTCCCGGAATCCGCTGCTGAATCCTCGCAGCAACATGCTCAGCATGCTCCGGCCCCTGCCAAGTCCCATTCCTCCCAGCCGAATGGCTACACCTTTGTGGAAGTCCAGAAGTCCGTGAATATCCATAACAAGTTGATTACGGAGAAGGATGGCCGATTGGTGGAGCAACACGAGACCATTTACCATCAGCCCTACTTGCCGGCGAGTCCTTCTCCAGCTCCAGCGAAGAGCTACGCATCTCTGGCCAAGAATCCCATTCACGTGGAGTACGATAGTTCGCCCCAGGAGGTGGCCATTTCTCACGCGACGGTTCATTTGGATACAGGACACAAGGGACATTCTGATGCCTCGAGTAGTGGACACCAAATCCTGCATACTTCTGCCACTTATTCAGATAAACACCAGGTGCAGCCGGTGCATCATGAGCAATCCATTCAACACGTGGTGCATCACGATCAGAAAGTGCATCATGAACCTCCGATACAACATGTAGTTCACCATCAGCAGCCCATTCACCAGGTTCATCATGAAGAAGCCATTAACCATGTAGTGCATCATGATCAACCTATACATCAAGTACATCATGAACAGCCTATACATCAAGTACATCATGAACAACCCATCCACCACGAACAGCATGTAGTTCACCATGAAGAGCCTTTGCATCAAGTACATCATGAGCAACCCATCTACCAAGAGCAACATATAGTACATCATGAGCAACAAGATAATCACGAGGTCCATCATCATGAAGAACCCATTCACCATGAACCACTTATTCATCATGAACACAATCATCATGAACCCCTTCATCACGAGCTTCACGAGCATCATCCTCAGCAACATGTTGTGGAAAAGCATATTCCCGTTCCATACGCCGTACCCCAGCCAGTGCCGGTACCCGTTCACGTGGAGCACTACGTCGATCGTCCATATCCCGTAGAAACCATCGTGGAGCACGCCGTTCCATATCCCGTGGAGAAGGTGGTAGAGAAGATTGTGGAGAAACATGTTCCCGTGGAGGTGGAACGCATTGTGGAGAAGCCAGTGCCAGTTGAGAAGATTGTGGAAAAGTTCGTGGACCGGCCAATGGCCATTCCCATCCATGTTCCCGTGGCCATACACATGCCTATGCCACCGCCGGGTCACTCCGCTCTGCCCTTCTCCCATCCAAACGCATTGGCGCCGTGGGGCCACCATTCGGTGGCTCACATTCCGCCAAAGGTGCTGCAGAACTATTACAACAGGATGCTGAAGAAGCTGCTGCCGCAATTGGCGGCCAAAAGCCCGGCTCTCCAAGCGCCGAAATCCGTAAAGCTGAGTAAGCCCGTGGCAGCCCTGAAGCAGCCCGTCAAGCCCGTGCGCGGAGAGGTGCCCAAAGTGGCCACGTTCAGCTTGGCAGATATGCGATTTGACCTGCGACCGCCGCCTCCACCCCAAGGCTCTCCCTGGCTGCAGGGCGCCCGCTACATCTACAACACCCTGCCCGCTGATCTGGCCACCGCCGCCGCCTCTGCTCCGGCCATGATAAAGTCCTACATAGGCCCGGTGCCCGCTGCCACCTCGGGAGGAGCTCCTCCTGGCGGGGACACTGCACTTGGCAACGATTTCGACGAGTTCCAGCGCTGGCGGAACGGGCACTCCCTCAAACGCAGCCCCGACTTTGGTCGCAACCTCCAGCTGGAGTACGGGTTCAAGCCCCCGCTAGTGCCGTCCATGGAAATCGACGACAAGGGGAATCCCCTGAAGCAGGCGGAGCAGACGGAGACGCAATGAAAAATTTAAGCGAATGCGTTGCGAAGAATAAGCGTGCCAAAATATAAAGCTATAGTTATTGTAACCTATTTATGTAACATATTTAAATCAACGAATGCATTTAATAAAACTCCATTAAACACAAAATAAAGAATTAAATATTACCTTAAATAAAGTATAGTATAGTTACCTTAAAAAAAGTATAGGAGTGTCTGGCGAGCTCCAAGCCAGGCACTTTGTATTATTGCTGACAATAATCCCCGAAGAAAAATACACATGTGTCTGCACATTAGGGCCGGATGGGACATTATACATGTGTCTGCGAACCCTGCTTAGGTGCAATATTAATTAAACAAATGACAGTGACAACCCTGGCAGTCAGTCGTTGTGACTACAGTCGACTGTACCCAATTAAGAAGCAAAGACTTGGCACAAAAATATTATGAATTTCCTTAAGTAGCATTTATGTAAATGAAAAATTCACGCACTTAGGGGCAGAAGGGTTTGGCCGCCAATCCCTTATCTCGGGAAGAACAGGCGCCACCCCAAGGCCACGCCCACCCAATTGGAGGCTCACACGTCCCGGCGAACAGGCTGGAAGGGTGCCCAAGTGCAAAGATTTATATGACAGCTAATAAATTTACAACACATGTAGCGCCCGGCAGATATTAGGAGATACGAGTATTTTTCGGTGACAACTCAAGGCCCTGCACGTCCCGAGTTTTGAATGTTATTGAGGCATGTTTTTGCGAGAAGCAGAAATAACAGCCTTGCAAAAATACAAACATATACGGACGTATTTGCGAAAAGCACGTCGGAGCTGCTGCAGTTGACATTTGACGTTTTCAAGGGGGAACTGAAAACAGTTTAGAGCACGTATCGAACGGAAACGGAAACGAAAAACTCCGAGAAGGACAAAGGCTCCTTGGGAAAAAAACGTGGCCAATACACATTTGTTTTCCAAACATCAATAAATTATTCATTAGCTTGAGTTTTCTGAATAAATTATAAGCTTATTCATTAATAGCTCATTTGTTGAGACTATTATTTTTGGAAATATATTTCCACACCATGTCGGGCATTATTTATGCATTAAATTCAGACATTCAGACAATCTCGAGACACGTGAGGTCAGCAAGTATTTCTTCAATCTCTAATCTTTAAGCTCGACTGCCAGGTTTTTGTTTAACTTTTGCCGAAATCACAGAGCAGTAAATCATAAATGGATGCAGATCCAGCACGCCCACAGATATCAAAAATCAATTGCAATTGCAAATGCAAATGCAAATGCAATGGATATTCAGCATTTTGATAGACTCCCCGGGGTGGGAAGGTCAAAAGAAGCAAATAAAGCCCCCAAAAAAAGGAGTAAGCCAACAAGAAAGATAAGCAAGGGAACAATTGAATAATTTATATGCAAATAAATAAAAGTACTTTCGACACAAAAGCCGTGCAGTTCGGAAAACAGTGTGTGAAATAAATTCTACGATCTGGCCACAAAAGGCGTGACACACGCTACAAGAGGCGATTCCAGGATGCTGATTTTTTCGGGGGGGGCTTTCGTACACCCCCTCCCGAACACCCATTTGCACCCCCAAAAAGCTGTCGGCCTTTTCTGGTTTGGCTGAACGCTCGCTGCATGTCATTGTCAGGGGCTGCCAACTCTGCATTTGATATACGATGTGTTGGCAAGCCGCCCAAGTTGGCGGCAGTCCACCGATGGGCGGAGAGCGCAGGGTCGAGGACCGAGGGGTTCGAGGGCGTGGCATTGCGAGACAAATGCAGCTGAACCGAAAATTGCATTTCCGCTTTGGAAATTGCGCAAACTTCCGCAGCGAGAGGCTGGCAAAAAAAAGGCAGAAAGCAAAAGCAAACATGGCCGGGAAAAAAAATAGTCGGCTAACCACGAATACGTCGGATCGTCGCCAGACAATTGGCAAAAATTTTCTATAAAAGTGTGAAATAGGCCGTCACCCCTTGGCCCCAAAAAAAGTTCCGAGAAGGGGGATGGAGGTGGCACAGATGAAGCTGACACGCCGTAAAGTGGCCCCAGTGAACCACAGAAAACTTGTCACACTAAAATGAACGCAAAAATGTCAAAAGCACAAAAAGATAAGGCCAGGAAAATGGAGGGGCAGCGGGGTGGAAAATTCAGGAAACTCTTGGCTAAGAAAAAAAGTCAAACCATAAGAAACGAATGAATGAAATCTGAATTGCACTGCAAAGTGCCGGAAAACGTTGTCAAGTTGCACCTATCACTTGGCCAAAGATAAAGGATTTTCTTCATTCTACTCTATCAAAAATAAAAGAATTTTAGTTATTAACAAGCTTATAGTCAGTAGTAAAATTATGAAAGGAATTAGATATTTTATTTTCCACGTACCATATCTTATAAGTCAATCCCAGGTTACAGTTTGTCAACAGGGTTAGTTCCGTGTCGCTTAACCCGCTAATGGGCGGAAACGGAAACTCCTGCGGCTGCTAAATTGATCTCCTAAGGACTGCCAAATAGTCAAAGGTACTAGCTTAGAGGGCAAATATTTGAGGAAAACCCCCACACAAATGCCGCGATTTCGTCTAGACTTGGTTTTCAGAAATCGGCAGCTGAGGAAAAAATATCCTGACACTTGCCAGGCGACAACCGAAAACAAACAGGAAACCAGTAAAAATTCTATTGAAACTGGCTGAGAAAAAAAGGCAAGGAGTCTGCACGTACTTGAAGTGCAAACAATCATAAGTTTATCGCAAAGAAACATGAGCAAATATTTTCAAAAATATATTCAAAGTCAAGTGACGTTTTTTCCCGGCAAGCCTAAAAGTATTCACTATTAGTCTTTGGTAGTTTAAGTAGATATTGTGTAAAAAACAAGTTAAATGGTATATTTGTGAAACCACAAAAAATACCCATAAATTCACGATGAAATTTCCAGCAGTTGGCTTATGATTATTGCCTTATTTCAGCCAAAGAAATCCTCGAGAATACACATTGAAAGGGGAAGGATTTCATTGGGAGTCCTGAGCTCGGAGCTCACTGTCGGCCAACAATAAGAATACGCAATCAATGGCTCCCCATTGGAATGAGCAAGTAAAAACTAATCAAAAACCTCAATTGCAATACTGGAATTAAGGCAGGAGCAAAATATTGCCAAGTCTGTGGGAGAAAGCTCGTTGGACTTCTGTTGTATGGCCAATGCAATGGCCAACCCAACAAACAGCAACAATAATTAGAAACAGGTACAGCCCGCAGGATGAATGCCCTTTAAAAAATGTAATATTAAATAAGAAACAATAAAATATTATAAGTGCAACGTAATTAAACATTAAGTAGCTACTTCTATTTCACCTATCATTAACCAAACAAGTAGTATACACTATCCATATCTATAATGCCAGTAGGGGCAACACTGCAACTGACAAGCAGCAGCCCGCTGCGAGCAAGAAGAGCCATATGATTTTGATAGTAATAACAATAACAATAGCTCTAATGAAAACTATCCAAGGGCCAAGTTCCGATCCTGAAGATGAAGCTGAAAATTATAAGCTGGCCGAGGAATTTCAATCAGTGGCGAAGACGAACGGCTATGACGATGATGGTGGCAGCAACTTTGTGATTGCATAACTGCGTTGTGGCTAGGGTTTGGGGGGCAGGTGGTAGGTGGCCGGAGTACCTGGCATCTTGGCTCTCGGCGGGAGATTTCTCGGCAACCGTTGCAACATTCTTCTTCGTGTGCATCCCACACACACACAAACAGGCGGTTGGCCAGCAATTTTCTGTCAAAAACAACGGCCCAGAACAACAAACTCCTGGTAGAAACTTTCTGCCCGGCCACAAAGTCACCGGAACAGTGCTGACAGAAGAGCTATTTAAGAGACAAATAGATTTATGTTTTTTTTTAAAGAAAATAATGTATAATTAGGGACTACTTTTTTGAAAATTAAATTTTTGCATTTTTTTTGGTTATTACTAAAAATACCGTTTAGTTTTCAAAAGTTTCTTACAAACAACATTTTTGCATCATTTACTCACCTGGCAACACTTTACCAGGTACATCCCACACCATTTTGGGAGGTGCGGCCACACTTTTAGCATGCGTGTGGTTACCGTGCGTAGTGATGCGGTCATCCGGTCGTGAAGGTGGTGCGAGAAAATGGCGATGGTGATGGCTGGTGGCTCCTAGTTCGGTTAAAAGTGCAAACTGCAAACTGCACAAACTGGCAACTGGAACTGCTGTCAGTATATTGGCAAAGTTTTCGTGTTCTGGACTCTGGAGAGTCTGGGACGGGGCAAGTCCGAGTGTTTATTTTGCTAGTGTGTTGTACCATAAAAGCAGAGTGCTTGTTTGCTTGTGGCAAATTATTTAGATTGCAAAATCTCGGTAAAATGAAAATAAAACTACAGAAAATATACTATACGCAATACGTATATCGAAGGAACTTTCAGTGTAGAACAACTAATTCACTTTATGGCTTTTCCCTTGACTCAAAATCCGAACTTAATTCGCCGTCGTGCCCCAAGTTTTCCGGGGGTGCATTATCTCGATTCTCATTACCGGAATAATCTGCTTTGTGCGGGCGGACGAGGCGAATAGTTAAGTATTTAACGACCCTTCTCAAGTCGGGCGTGTCAAGTGCAGTGCTCCCCTAATCCGCAGGACTCACAAATCCCAACCCGACTCCCAACTTCGGAGCCAGCCACCAACTGCTTTAAACTGTTTACACTTTAGGTCGCTGCTGCATGTGCCGCAAAGCAGAACTCTGAACCTCACATTTGCCAAGTAATTTTCACGTAAAAATCATTTCCATTTCCGCCAAAAAGCTTTGGCCATGCGAGTGTGAGTTTATGGGTGGGGGAGAGCCATTTTGACACTTAATTATTTCAATTGAGGCTGAGGGTGTGCCGCCAAGGCCCCTTTTCTCGTTTTGGGGCTTTTGTTTTTCGGAAATCCAAAGCGAGGGTCCTGGCCCTTTTATGGGCATACCTTTTACCTTTTTTGTCGCCCCTGTTTCCCCCGTATGTGTATCTCGTTAACAGCCTTTCATTTATATACGAATA